ATATACTTGTTGACTTGTTGTTTTATTTGTATGAGTAAAGTTATTTTGTAGTATTATTTATAGGCCCTTATATGTGCATTTTAAAAAATGTTAAAATTATTAAAATGTCTGAAAAGGAAGAATTTAGGAGTGGTCTTTTCATTCCTGGTCTGAAGAGAGCAGGTTTGCCTTTTACCAAAGTTCATCATCATCATCAATGCCTTTCACCCCTGGCAGGGTGTAGGAGGCCTCATACAAGCTCCTTCCATTTATCTCTGTCCTGAGCCATCCTTCCAAGCTCGTTCCAAGTGAGCTTCATCTCTCTCAAGTCGATTTCCACACATATCTCCTCCATGTTTTTACCCAAGTTACTCTGTCATGAAATATTCCGGAACACTTTATTTTTTAAATGACAGTATTCTAGACCCACTGATGCTTGCGATATACCTATCCCCGCGGTTTTTTGCAAAAAAATTCTGAAATTATGCAAACTGAGCCCAAAACTGTGAAATTAAGCGTTTCTGTTAATTTTAACAAAGAATGATAAAGGAAAATAATCAGAAATTATGCAAAAAGTGATCAACTTTTGCTAAATTACGCGGGGTGCATAAAACCCTAGGGACAGATATACACTGTCCAACTCAGCTTGTGTGGAACTTGCTGGAGTTAATCTTCTGTTAAGTTGAGCTTTTCTCAGGTCCCAGCACCTCATCTTCTTTACAATTCCCAATAGTTACGTTGAACTTCGGATGAGGTGATCTATTTTTCCCTCCCCCGATTACATCAACTCATCAGTAGTCGACTGTAACAATATTATTTCCTTTGGTTTATTGTTCAGCCAATAGTTTCAGAAATCTTAACCTCTGCATAAAAAGATAAGTGTGCTAAATAGTTGCTTTTGAGCCTCAAGAATGACACAAGAATTATGAATTAAACTAACTATTTAGAACCTAACCGTATTTACATGTCAATTTGAAACAGGCTTTCTTAGCAGATAATTGTGATAGCCCCTTGGTAGACAGCAATGAGTTACTTTTACTGGGGGGGTTTTCTGGA